TGTGTGTGTGTGTGTGTGTGTGTGTGTGTGTGTGTGTGTGTGTGTGTTTTAAGTGACCAGGACCCAAAGTAAATACACAGAATAGTTCTGGACACTTCTGAATTAAGAGAATAGTACAAAAACTGTTTGCCTGGCAGAAACTGAAAAGGAAAACTTTAACCTGAGATACCTTCATTTCAGCCACTGTTGATCTCCAGTGTTTCTTCATTCATTTCTTCCAGCCAGAACAGAAGGGCAGTCTCAGAGACTTAGTCCAAAGCCTACCATAGCCTCACAGCCACAGGATAGCTCTTTCCTCTAGGGCCTTGGTTCCCTGACCTGTTGGAGGTTGGTGGTTCATTGGCACCTCAGGATATCCTGGCAAAGTAGCCATTTTCACCTAGTGAAGGATGTGAGCTGGCTTCTAGCCTGGTCATGTAATGCTAACTCTCCTGTTCTGCCAGCTGTAGCCAGGCCAAAGGGCACTCTGACAGGGAGCCCAAAAGCCTTCTGGTCTTCCCACTAGGTTTGTCGAAAGGAAACATGAACTGAAGTCCCAATAGTATTTTGGGTTCCTACAGAACCACAATTGGTTTCACCTGAGAGCCTTACTTAAAACAGAGGCTGTGAGCCATACCACAGTGGACAAAGTGCCCATGGCAGATGGCAAAGTTCTTCAGGACGGTGGCTTTCTGCACCAGTGGTATATGAGTGTCTCAAAGGCCCTGGGAGTCTTTATGACTTGTATGTCTGGGGCTGTCATGACAAGCAGGGCTAGGCCAATTAGACAAGTAAGCAAGAAGGAGAGCACACTTATCACATGGTTCTTCTCTCCCGTAACACTGTGAGAACTATGGGTCAGGGCCAGGTTGGGGATGGTGTTGGGCCCAAGTTCAGATCCTGTCCCTTCTTTGGGACCTATGTGCTAGGCTTGGCCTCCAAGCGTCTAGTCTTCTGAAGGCCATGGGAGAGAAAAGGACCTTAACCAGGACAGTCCTGTGAACACTGTAGAGTTTGGCTCCAACTCCTACCCAGAAGCAGGTGCTACCGTAGCCCAGAGCCTATAGTCAGCTGATGCTAAGAGCTCTAGTGCCGGTAGGCCTTGTCTATGTCCAGCATGACACAGCACAGCCACCCCTGAGACAGGGTTTCTCTGTACAGTGCTGACTGTCCTAGAACTCATTATGTAGACCAGGCTAGCCTTGAACTCACAGAGATCTGCCTGCCTCTGCCTTCCAAGTACTGTGTTAAAGGCGTGTGCCACCAACGCCTGGCAAGTCTGAACTACTCTTTGTTTTACACATGAGTTTTTTTTTTAACTTCCAGCCTGTGGACTATGGCCCTGGTGTTAACCAGCACACTAGCCATTGGCTCTTGGCAGTGGTCCTTGGTGTATTTGTACCCATTCTTCCAGAGATAGATGTACATATTGGCCCCATTTCTGCTTTCTTGCCTGGCACTTTTCTAGAAAGTCCCAACAGAACAGTGAGTTAGTCAATTAGAGAACAACTATGAGGCTGAGCACAACACAGGGACCAGGCCCCATGCAGCCCAGATGTGAGAGCAAGCAGATACTCCTGGCCACAGTGTAATGGCATGAAGTGCCACTCCTATCCTTGAAGCTCCTCCACCCAGCAAATGGGGAGGTATGAAAGAAGGTCGGGGAAGCTGGTCTGTGCCCAGAAAGTGAAGTTCAATAGTACTGTATGCACCCAGCCATCCATTGGGCTTTTCCAGGTCCAGTGTGGTGAACATAGCTATCCCTGGGCTAGCCCACTTGGTCTCACATGGCATCCTATTTTAATATCTAAATGCATGGGGAAAACAAGTCATAGCAATCAACAGGGCTCTAGGTCTTTGGAGAGGCAGGAGTCCTTGGCTGGCAATAACCTTTCTGTTTGGAAGGGGTGGGTGCTACCCACCTAAGGCCTCCAGCCTCTGGAGCTTTGGGCCTCACAGCTGCCCTTGCCCTTTATGGGCAGCAAGCTGCCTGCTGAGCCTTCCAGCACACAGCCACTTCAGCATCCCCTTAGGACTTAGAATGGAATTTCCCCAGATTTTTTAGTTACTGGACCTTGTCATCTAAAAGTACTACCACTGTGAGAGCATGCTGGCAAGTTTGGACTATTATCTTTGCCCATAGCGGTGAGGAGCCATTGAACCATTAGGCCTTAGGGCAGCATCTATGCTAACCCAGAGGTGGTATAGTCCAGAGCCTGTGTGCCCAGGCCTCTGCCCCTTACCAGCACAAAAGTTACTGAAGTTTGATTCCTACGCTGGGCCTCAGACTCTCCCACTGTCTGGTTCCCAAGCAGCCCATCATTAGTAGCAAGTGCCTATGAGATGAAGGATGCAGGAGACAGGACCCTACCTTGTTCTCCCTGGCCTGATCTCAGAGAGGACTTAGCATTCTACCCATGCTGCAAGCCATAGCCCACACCCTGGGCTCTACCTAAATGGCTTCTTTGTGTCTCTGCAGACCTAGTGCTGTACTGTGAAGCCTTCCTGACCACCTACAGGACCTTCATCAGCCCAGAGGAGCTCATCAAGAAGCTGCAGTACCGATATCCTTCCCAGGCTTGTAGCCCCTGAGATCATTTTTATTTCTTTTACACCATTTCTAACGATGTCATTGAGGAGCCTAAGGCTAGGCATGTTGAAGTAACTAACTTGCATAGTCCCACCAGCCCTCAGGTTCTCAGCCCTTTGCGGGTTAGCTGCTGCCAGCCTGTTCGTGGAGACACTGCCCCCTCAAGACCCGGGGTAGCTCTTTCACCTTTGCATTGGGAGCCCAGTTCCCACTCTAACCAACCTGGCCCTGACTCAAAAACAAACAAACAAAAAAAAAAAATGGTTGAGGAAAATGAAATGCCATGGAGGGCATGGGACAGAATGCTGTTGCACTCTGGGGGTGGGTGAGACCACTGGGTAATTCTGAAGAGAAAAAAAAAAAAAAAAAAAAGACTGAGAAATGTTGAGAGAAAGAAGGAGGTGGGTGGCCCTGCTGAGACCTTTCTGTAGGTTCTCCACACTGAACCCTGGGTGTCCAGCCAGTGGGGACCAGTGGACTGAAGAGAGGACCAGGCTAAAGAGAAGAAAACTCATCCAGGCATGGTGGTACATACCTTTGATTCCAGCACTCAGAGGCAGGCGGATCTCAAAGTTTGAGGCTAGCCTGGTCTACAGAGTGAGTTCCAGGACAGTTGGAACTACACAGAAAAACAGAAGGGGGGGGGGGGTATGAGAAAGAAAGAAGAAAACTCAGGGGAGAGAAAGAGAGAAGAAAACTCAGTGGCTTCGAGGCAGACCTGGCCCTTACTGGCCTTAGCCAGGTAGCAAACAGCTCCACCACAGCTAGGCTTTGCCCCAGCCCAGGACCCTTGGGGATTGCTACTCCCTGTGTCTTTGGAAGAAGTCTGCCTGTTCCTCTTTCTCTGTATTGGGCCTGCCTGGGAACCACAGCAACTAGGCCATCTCCCAGCCACATAGCCTGTGACTGCCATCTGCTGGACAGTTGCTGTCACTGGGGCAGCTCTCCACCTTCCTGTACGCCCTGAACCCTCTCAGGGGCTCCTCCGTACCTCCTCTCCTCAGTCTGACCCTAACTAACCGCCCTGTTCTGTCAGAAGAGGTGTGCACATTTCCCATCTATGGACTCTAAGCACCTGCTAGAGCCTGGCCTAACAAAAGACTGTAAGCTGCGTCTACCACAAACATGTCAAACTGACATGCGTTTGCTCATGGGTTCCCACTTGTCTGTGAGACCATTTTTGTATCTGTTACACCAGTGAGAATGGGTAACTGCATATTCCCACCTCCAACCTCTACTGCCCCCCTGTTTCTCAGCCCTTCCCCACTTAGCCTCAGCCAGCAAGTTCCTGGAGGCATTTCCTCCTCAAGACGTGGGGAGCACTTTGTTGGGGGCCAGGTAGACCATCCGTATGGGGTGGCTGCCCTTGAGTGGCAAAACCCAGGTCAAGGATCATTGAGGAGTAAGGGAGAGCGTGAAGAGCTGATGGGGACAGGGCAGCAGCAGGAAGCCACCGTCTCCAAAGCAGACCCCGGCTTCAGCGGTCATGAGTCAGGTGCGAGGGCTATCATGAAGTGGGGGACACCTGTAGAGTCTGCTGTCTCCAGAAAGAAGGACCAGCCTGGCTTTCCAAGGCTCGAGCTCCCAGGATCATCCATGCCATTGTGGCTACATGACTGACGATGTGATCTCCAGATGGAAGCCAGTAGGATGTAGAGAGAAGCCTTTTGGGTTTGTTCACTTTCCAGGCCCTGGGTCTTTGAGGGTGTCTAGATAGGGACCTGCTCCCTGCACCTGAGGCCCAACACCATGACCCTCAGTATGTCAGCACTCGGGTCCAACACACAGACAGACAGAGGATGCCAGAGTTGGTCCTCGGTTCAGCATTCAGGAGCAGCTTCTGGAGCCAGTGGCCAGAGCTCGATTCTGGCTTTGAACATCCCCACTGCACATAGACCGGGCCTTTGCTTCCATAAGCTAATAAGCCTTCACTCACAGGGTTCTCAGCACCATAAATGGCTGATGGGAGGGGGGTCTCAAAGTTAGCATTCTGTGCAGTCCCTGCCTTATGGACCTTAATCCACACTTCACATATGAGAAGTTCTCTCCCTTTGCTGATACGTTCAAAAAGCGAGTCAGCAAGAACACGTTCTTTGTGCTGGTGCGAGTAGTGGATGAGCTCTGGTAAGTGCCTTGCCCCATGGTCCCAGGAGTGGGTGGCAAATGCTCAAGCCTGTGTGCATTGCAGCAGGCCTCTAGCAGGCCATAGGGGTAGTACAGGCTTCCTCACCTGGATCCGCAACCATTACATTCCACCCACCATGGGGGTACGTGCCCCAGCACAGAACAGAGTGCTGCCCATTGCTTCATCCCAGCTCAGAGAGTAACAGACACGACAGATGGGGTGGGGGGTGGGGTTAGCTCTGGAGTTCCTTGTAGGGTGAGCCCCTGCCTTATCTGGGACTGTTATCTTAGTTCACAGTAAGACACACCCATCAGCATAGTGGGGCCAGATGGAGGCCGACATGTGGAGGAGGCTGCATCTTCACAGGCTCGCCACAGCCACAGTCTGTGGCTCCTACCTTTTCCAGGCATAACTGGCTGGCCTGTTCTGGGGGTAGCACCTCTGAACCCTTGCCCTCCAATGGCTTCTTACTCTTGTGTGCTGGCTCTATGATGTGAAGGTCAGGGATGGAGGAGCTCAGTGGAGATGAGGCTCCTGTCTGACATCTCATCACCCCAGGGTTAGAACAGAAACTTCCCCAAGGCAGAAAGCAGCAAGTATATTGAGTGAGTTGTCAGGACCTATTGCAGAAAGGCCACTCCCAGTGCTGTGGAGACAGTGAGTGAATGGCATCCCCAACTGGGGTCCTGGCCTGCCTTTCACCTAGTGCTCTTGGCCCTTAGCCTGGTGGAGCTGACAGAAGAGATCCTGAAGCTGCTGATGGAGCTAGTCTTCCGCCTAGTGTGCAGTGGAGAGCTCAGCCTGGCCAGAGTACTTCGGAAGAACATTCTGGACAAGGTGGACCAGAAGAAGCTGCTCAGGTGTGCCCATTCCGACCAGCCTTTGGCAGCCAGGGGTGTTGCAGCCAGGTGAGGAGCCAGTATCAGCCCACAGTGCAGGTCAGACTAAGTACAGCAGCTGCCTTTCCCCATAGCCCTGTGATGAGGTGCCTCATGGACAGATCCTGGGCTCCCATGGCTGGTCTCTCCCTTGATCCCTGTGGAGCAAAGCCTCACAGATTGCCAGAAAAACAAATGGAGCTGCATACACAGGAGACGAACGTGCTCTGGGCTGTGCTCAGCTCTGGATTCCCCAATACTCATGCCTCCCCCACATACACCTCGTGTCATCCTTACTTCTAAAAGCCTGGAAAAAGTTTCTCTCTGCCGGCTGGTGGTGGGGTGTCAGGTGGTGTGTGTAGGGAGCCAGTTACCCTGAGTGTAGCCCTATGGCCCAGAAGAGCCCATGGAGCTAAAGCTACAGCACTGTCCCCAACCATACTTCTCACCATTCTGTATTCCAGGCCAGGGACCTTGCATGATTTTCACAGCCACGAGATTGCAGAGCAGCTGACACTGCTGGATGCTGAACTTTTCTATAAGATAGAGGTATGCACTGAGTGGCCCTGCGAGGGGAGGCAGCTCTGCCTAGAAACTGCTGCTGGCTGTCACGAAGGAGAGCCCCACCCCCAGACCAGGGGTCTCGGAGACTGCAATATGGTCTGCTCTGTTTCCACCCAGATTCCTGAAGTTTTGCTTTGGGCCAAAGAGCAGAATGAAGAGAAGAGCCCCAACCTGACCCAGTTCACGGAGCACTTCAACAACATGTCCTATTGGTGAGAAGGAGCCATAGCACTTCTCAGGTGGTTTGGTCAGGGGCAGCCCAAACTTCCTTGGCAAAGAGGTTGAATGGTCAGTCCTCGGATCTTTCCAGAACCTTGGGCACTAGCCTTGACTATGGGCAACAGAGAAGGCAGAGCTGGTTGGGGTAGCACCATAGACTACAGTTCAGGGAGGCGTGCCACTCTCTGCAGCTGCTATAAGCCACCAGGGCTAGAGCATCTGACTGCCTGATACAGACCAGCTACTTAGCAAAGAAATGGAGTGTTAAGGCTTTGATTTGTTCCTGAGGGACACAGGAACTCTCCTCCCCTCCTCTCTACATAGTCCTGGCTGTCCTGGAACTTTCTCTTTAGACCAGGTCTTGAACTCAGAGATCCATCTGCCTCTGCCTCCTGTGTGCTGGGATTAAAGGTGTGGGCCACCAACCCAGCTTATCTCTGAATTTTTAAAGCAAAATAAAAGCTGTCAGGGTGTGTACATCTATCACCCGGTCATTTTTTCTTTTCAAGATGTGACTAGGTGCCACCGCCTCCTACCTCATCGTCCCTGTCCCACCTGCCTGCTGTGACCCCAGGGAATGGTCTCATTGCTTCATGGAGGCCTTGCTTCTCCCCTGCATGGGAAGTGCCCTCCCCTCAGCAGTGGCCACCATTCCAGTCTGAGTGTACTGGCTTCTAGGGCAGATAGGAGCTACCTAGCCTCCTGAGCCTTACCTGGATGCTGTTGTGAGCTGCCAGAAGCCCCAGGCAGGCTGGAAGTACACAGTACCCTTTGGAGTCATGATTTCTGACATGACCCCGAGATTAGGGGCCAGGGTCATGCTTGGGCTTCAGGCTCCAGATGGATAAGAACTTGTAGCCAGCTGGCACGGGGATCACATGTATTTCATCGACCAGGGCCACTGAGCATATGGTCAGCTCAGCTGTTGCTTCTCTGGCCCTTTCCTGCAGGGTACGGTCCATCATCATGCTGCAGGAAAAGGCCCAAGACCGGGAGAGGCTGCTCCTCAAGTTCATCAAGATCATGAAGGTAACTGCTCAATGCCCATAGCTCTCCCCACCCTGCCTGCGGACGCTAGCGCCTCCAGCCCTGCACTGCCCTACCCCTTTCCTCAGCACCGCCTCTCTGTGCAGCACCTGCGCAAGCTGAACAACTTCAACTCCTACCTGGCCATCCTCTCAGCGCTGGACTCGGCACCCATCCGCAGACTGGAGTGGCAGAGGCAGACCTCAGAGGTGGGTGATGGGAAGTCTGGGCAGGCTGGAGTGGACCTGAGCAAGACCAGGCATGGATCCACATCCGACACTCACCTCTGTGTGATGTACTTCAGATCCCATGTGTCTAGTCTCTCCAGTCAGCAGGTTGTAGGGCTTTCGTGATCGGTTGTGGGATTGTTAATGCTCCCTGTGTCAGGGCTTCAGCTTCGCCTGCTAAATCCAGCCCTTCCGTCCAAAATGGCCTTTCTGGGCTAGGCACTGCGTTAGGACTGGTGGGCAGGTGAGTGCTAGATGAAAGGACAAGTGAGGCCAAGAAAGGGTTCTCTCTGAGAACACGTACTCATACGTGAGTGCACAAGGGCATTTCCCACAAACAGGCCTGAGGCTCTCTACCACAGAGGTTTAACTGACACTGTTAAGAGGTGTCAGCAGGGCCTGAGTCTGGCATGTTATAAGTACCTGGCATTATCACTTATCAATAACCCACCTCTATCTTACAGGGCCTGGCTGAGTACTGCACATTGATTGACAGCTCATCCTCCTTCCGAGCCTACCGGGCTGCCCTCTCAGAGGTTGAACCCCCATGTATCCCGTACCTGTGAGTTATCTCCCCTCCCACACCTGATAGTACAGACATCCCCGTTTTAGTGGAGGTTTTTTGTTTTCATATTAAGCATGTGTCCACGTGCACGTGTGCACGCCTGGGTATCTATGTATGTACCATGTGTGTACAGAAGCTCACAGAGGTCAGAAGAGGGCATGGGGTATTCTGGAACTCGAGTTACAGGTAGTTATGAGTAGCCGTGTGGTGTTGGGAACCAAACCCAAGTCTTCTGCAAAGACAGTAAGCTCTCTTAACCTCTGAGCATCCGTCCAGATCCCAGTTTCGATTGTAGTCTGTTTGACTGTTCAGTTAACAGTTTGACATTTGCAACCACTACCCTGTCCACCCCTATAGCTAGGTCAGCCTCAGTCCTCCATAGCCAGGATTTACAAGTGCTGAGCTGGTTCTTAAGGGATCCACAGGGGCCTCTGACCCAGAGTGAGGCAGCAAGGTTTCATGTGGGTTGGAAGAACACCTAAATCTGCTCTGGCTTACTCTAAGGTTCAGCAGCTGCTTGTCATGGACCAAAGTTGTCATCAGATTCTAGTGGCAAAGCCAGCTCATAGCAAAACAACTGCCTCCTGAGTCTGTTCCCAATACAGTAACTGACTTCTGCCTTCATCCCTCAGAGGCCTGATCCTGCAGGACCTGACCTTCGTTCACCTGGGAAACCCAGACTATATTGATGGGAAAGTGAACTTCTCCAAGAGGTGGCAACAGTTCAACATCTTGGACAGTATGCGATGCTTCCAGCAGGTGTAAGTTCTGCCTGGTACCAGCCTGGCCCCGCTGCAGGGAGGGGCATGACCAAGAGGGCAAAGAGCCTGCTCTGTGGGGTAGAGTTTAGTCTCTGCTCCCCTGGCTTTTATCAGGACAGCATGGGGAAATCCACATAAAGGGCTCTCAGCTCTTTGTCTGGTCCCTGGCCTGGCCCTGGCCCTATGGTGGCAGCCAGCTTATCCTCCAATTACAAGTCAGGAAGCAGGTACTCTCCAGGCCTTAAGAAGGAAGCTGACAATCTGACCTACCTGGTTCTAGTGTGGAAGGGCAGACTTGGACATCACAGCCCAGTCAGGATAACCTGAGTGGACCATGTGCTAGATGGGTCTGTGCAGCCTTCTCCTGAGGAGCTGCGGTAATGGTGTGGGAGGCCCGGGGCTCGTAGTGGGCTGCTTACACTGTCCTGCTGCATAGCACTGTTGTCCCCTATTGGGTTAGTAGCAGTGACCCTAGCAGGCGGTTGATCGTGAGGGCCCACGGTGGTCTGGGTTGTACCCTGTGAGGTTCTGGTCTGGCTGTTCGGCTAGCCCTGGACTCACTGACTGTCCCTTTCCCACCAGGCACTATGAAATCCGGAGAAACGACGACATCATAAACTTCTTCAACGACTTCAGTGACCACCTTGCCGAGGAGGCCCTATGGGAACTCTCTCTGAAGATCAAACCCAGGAACATAACAAGGCGGAAAACAGACCGCGAAGAGAAGACCTAGGAGCAGGCTGGCTATGAGAACGCTCGAGCAGCCAGGAGAGGACCTGGAGCGTCCCAGCCTCAGAGCCTGTCCTTCCATGGCTTGGCTGTGTGGCAGCGCCCAAGCCTACTGGCCGGATTCCTGCCTCCCCCCTGGTGCTAAAGCCCCAGGGTTCACAACGAGCTGACCGGCAGGCCTCAGGACTGGCTTGTGCACTGGTGGCCCCTGGTCTGGTTTTGTTTCCTGTTTTCTGTCTGCTGCCTCCTGTTCTCTACTGTCCCCTCCAGTTGGAGAGCAGCAGAGATCCAGGCAGCAGACCAGGGGAATGGCGGGCTTGACCCCTCCCAAAGCCACCCTAGGCTTCTTAAGTGACATAAGAATAGAGGCCCCAGGTCCCTTGGGTGGGCTGTCCTCCAGTGTGCCTGGAGTCAGAAGAGATGGGAAGCAGAAGATAGAAAAGGGCCATGGCAGGAATCTTTTGCCATTTAAACATGGAGGATGAGGCATTTAGACCCAGCCCAGAAAGTATGATGGGTACTAGGCAACAGCCACAGAGCTGGCCCTCCTCACAGTATTGGCTCCAGACTTGTCCTGCCATGCCCGGCCCACTAAGACCACCTGCTGGACCGTGCTGGCCTCCAGAAGCATCTTCCGTCATGTTCCCCCACCACTGGTCTAGCCCCAGCCCACATCATTGGTACTCTGGGGATCAGGAAGCAGAGGCAGAAGGGAAAATTCGTGCTGATCTGGGCCAAAGCTGTGCTTGTGAATGGATCAGAGTGAGAATCTTTAGTGACCTGGGGAGAGGCAAGCAGCCCCTCCGTGCTTGCTGTGTGCCTTAAATGCCGCCTCCTGTCCCTTCCAGGCCTATATGCTTCCCTCCTACTTTGCCCAACCCCTAGCAGCCAGCAGGCTCCTAGTCCCTTTTTGCTGCCTGGGAATATCTGTTATACCCAAGAGGCAGAGCAGGCCTAGGATGGGAGGGCCTCCAGGATCCTCCTGACTCCAAGGCAGAGGGCCTCTTCCCTTGGTGTAGAGCCACCCACTGCTGCTGAGGTTGACAATCTGTTCAGGGCTCGGTGTTGGGGTCTCCCTGGCTGTGGCTCCATGCCCACCACTTTGGGCTAGTTGACAGGTGCAGGTCAGAATCCAGAGGTGCTGCTGGCCCTGCCCCATGCTGCAGTTCAGTGCTGCATGGACAAGCACCCATTTCTTCTGGCCATGGGGCTTGGTCAAGTAGATACCAAGATCTCTGTGCTTCCTCAACCCAGTTATCACAGCAGAAGGAAAGAGCAAGAGCTGCTGGCCGGGTCACTCTGAACCCTTCCTGGGTCTTTTAGCATCTTTTATCAAAAAGAAACTATGGGCTCTTTTCCCCGCCCCCTCCTGTTTATTTGTGCTGTAAATAGAGAGGGGACATCTGTGGACAGCCCCTTGGCCGGCTCCCCTCTGGCAGCAGCCGCCCATGAATTGTTTAAGGCGTGTATGTGGAGTCAGGCTTGTGAGCCGAGTAGTGTGGGTCTTTGGTTTGTTCCCTTTTTGCAGGTCCTTTCATTTCAGTCTTTGCCTCCTGCTTCCTGTCCTTCACCAGCTCTGAGTGCTGCTGTGTTGAGTGGGGAGCAGTGTGCATACAGGCCCCTCCTCCCAGCCTCCTCCATAGCACAGGCCAACAGTCAGGCCTAGCCTACTGGTGCTGCAGCAGACAGAGCAGGCTCCCAAGCATGAGCTGGGCGGAAAGGAAGGCTCACCTTCCAGACCCAGAAGAGCTGGGCCCTCCTGCAATCCTGGGCCTTTGGCAGGCTAGGCAAAAGGCCAGGGCAACTCTGGAGTCTGGGGACCTCGAAGTGCGATGTATGGGTTTAACTTATTAGCCAACAGGCTTCCACAGTCACCTGCCTCTGGCTGCAGCTGAGCCCAATGCTCACTGCAGCCTGGCTTCCACGTGTCTGTTTCTTGGGGGTTGGAGTCTGGGGGAGCTGTGAGAATCAGTCTTTGTAGACATACTCAGCAGCATGGACAGTTGAGTTGGCCTTACCTGCAGGTATGGTCTGGCCAAGGCTAGGGCAAGCAGATGCCACATCTGGCTGACCCTAGAACCAAGACACCTGCCCCACGTCTCCCAGTGTGACACTGTAATATAAACCCCCACTAACCTGTCTGACAGTGCATCTTCCTACAAGCGCGCAACTTTTATATAAAAGAAAAATAAACAGACAGAAGCCTGTCTGATGCCATGTCTGTGTCCAGGCTCTCTGTGCCAGTCTGTTTGTGACAGCTGGAAGGCTAAGGTGGGGTCTCGGGGCTCTGGTAGACTTTGGGAGAGAACTGACTCCTGCAATTGGTCCTCTGACCTACACACACTTTCACATGAGAAAAAAAATAAATACACAAGCACCAGACACACCCAAGAGTTATGCTACCTTACCTACCCTCCGAGAAGAGCCATCCAGGGTAGGATTCAAGCACCAGGCTTTGAAGCTACTGCCTTCACAGTGGCTTCTGCATGTCATTCATTCCTGTGACTTTCCGAATACAAGTGCTGAGGAAGACAGCCATGAAATGTCCTCAGACCCTAGGAATGAAGTGCCCCCCCCCCCCAGGGGGGGACAGCTCACAGCCAGCACCTGAAAAGGGGCTGGAGAGGCTGCTCAGCAGTTAAGAGCACTGGCTGAGCCAGGGGCAGTGGCACACACCTGTATTCCCAGCACTCTGGGAGGCTAAGGCAGGTGGATCTCTGAGTTCAAGGTTAGCCTGGTCTAGAGTGAGTTCAAAACTACACAGAGAAACCCTGTCTCAAATTTTTTTTTAAAAATTAAAAAAGAACACTGGCTGCCCTTGCAGGGGACCTGGACACCCAGCACCTATGCGGTGTCTAACAGCCATCCGAAACTGCAGCTCCAGGAGACCCAGTGCCCTCTTCTGACTTACTCCAGCACAAGGCGTGCAGGTTGTTCATGTGCGTGCAGACAAAACACATGCACAAAAACCTAAAAAAGGAAGTCTGAGCCAGACGTGGCTGGTGGTGCACATCTTTAATCCCAGCCCTTGAAAGGCAGAAGCAGGTAGGTAGATCTTTATGATCTCTGGGCTGCAGTGAGACTTTGTCCCCAAAAAAAAAAAAAAACAAAAAACAAACAAACTGGATTAAAAGTCAATATAGTTATCATAGCAATAGAATACATTTCGTAACTTTCCAGTCAGGTCCAAATTATGATGGGGGGGCGGGTGTGTGTGTGTGTGTTGTGCGCTTAAAAAACTAGGGGTACAGCACTTGATAAATTTTTTTAGTCTTTTTACAAAGGTGAAAAAGGCAATTTACCATCCACACTTCTATTCAGTGTTACAGTGCTTACAGTTCTAGCCCATGCAATAAAACAAGAAAAACACACCTGGGATTAATTCCTGAAAAGAAGACAATAAAATACATGGATTATAACATCATGTGAACATGAATTTCAGCCAGACGATGTGGGCTTTAAAAAGACAAAATAGCAAGACTTTTAGCTCTAATACTGTCATTTAAAAAAACAACAACAGGGATGCTATTGAAATGTGCTAGATTGTCTACCCATACTGATGTAGAACTCTCATCTCCTTCTCCAGCACTGTGTCTGCCTGTGTGCCACCATGCTTTCAGCCATGATGATAATGTACTAAAACTCTTACTGTAAGCAAGCCCCAATTAAATGTTTTCTTTTATAAGAAAAAAAAAAAAAAAAAAAAAAAAAAAAAAAAAAAAAAAAA